AAACTACTCGGGTTGGGTTGTTGAATAGTGATTTGGTTCCTTATTTGGATGTATTTTTTGGTGAATTACTGCATGAAGAACAAAGATTGACTACACAAGTCGTTATCGATGCAGCTGGTGGATCATCTGAAATAGTTAATATTGCATATGTTGCTTAGTCTTGAGGGAAGGAAACAACGCAGTGTTACAACTGCAAAGAAATTAGTCATATTGCTCGTCATTGTGGTAAAAAGTTTTGTATTTATTGCAAGAAAAACGAACATATTATTAAAGAGTGTCTTGTACTGCCTCAAAATCGCAGAGATCAAGCCATTCATGTTGCGGTATGCGATTCTCACAATCTTGGTTCGACATTCACAGTTGCTGGCAATAATCAATCTATTCTTACACCAGATATGATTCAACAAATGATTCTCTTTTTTTTTTATCCTTGGTCTTCAAGGGAAAGGTAAGACTGTTACTTTTGTTTGTTATCCTTAGTTTGTTGATTTCAGCGCCACAAATCATATGATTGGTACATCTAATTTATTGCGTAATCAACGCCCGTATGCTGGTACTGAACATATTCTGGTCGTTGATGGATATAATATTTCAATTACGATAGTTGGTGATATTAGCCCCTTCTTCCAACATGTCTTGGTTTCTCCTAAAATATCTTCTAGCTTACTTTTTGTTGGTCAAATGGTGGATACTAACTGTGATGTACATCTCGTAATGGATGTATTGTGCAAGATCAGGTATCGGGGAAGGTGGTATCGAGGGGCCTAAAATGGGCATGTTATTTCCATTATAATTTACCGTTCTTTGGACTTTGTCATTAGCTTCTTCAGTTATTGAAAATAAGGTAGACATCTGACATAAAAGATTAAGTCATCCAAATAATATTATTTTAAATTATTTGTTGCAAAGTGGTGTTTTGGTTCTACAGATAAAAGTTTATTAGTTGATTGTTTCTTCTTGTAAACTAGACAAAAGTAAAACATTATCTTTTCCTATTTTGGTTACTCGTGCAAATAAATGGTTTGACATTATTTAGTGTTGTTTGGGGAATTACACATGTTATTTCACATGCTCAGTATAAATATTTTGTGACATTTATTGACAATTAGAATCGATTCACGTGGATCTATTTTTTACATTTCAAAACAAAAGTGTTTAGACATATATTAAAACTTACTTCTCCATTTTTATTAAAATCTTACGGTCTGATAATGGTGATGAATACATGTTTCATGAGTTTCAAGCATTTCTCCATAACAAGTGTTTTGTTTCACAACGTTCATGTCCTTATAAACCTCAGAGAATAGAGTTGCTGAATGAAAAAATTGACATCTGTTGGATATGATGCACACATTGTCGTTAGAATCATCTGTTTCAGCTGAGTTTTGGACTGAAGCTTTATCCACTGTAGTTTATCTGATTATTCGTTTACCATCTCAACAATCGAACAATTGAAGCTGGATTCTCTCTACTATCAAATGTTTGGTAAATATTCTAATTATCATATGATACATACTTTTGAATGTGTTTATGAACGTCATAAGTTGGCAACCCACTTTGTTCGATGTGCCTTTATGGATTATAGTCCTAATCATAAAGGTTTTTGTTGTTATGATTCAATTAATAATCGATGGCGTTCATCATAAATCCGGGATGTGATTTTCTTTGAACATGAATACTATTTTCAGCATCCTCTTTCGGCATCTGATATAGTTGTACTTCCTCACTTTCATAATTCTTCTTTTGATAAACAGTTCTAGCCTGGGCTAGTCTACACACGACGCCTGCCCCTTTCATCTCCACTCCTCCCCGACTCGGCTCCTGAAAATGCTCAAATGATTCATCGACTATCAACTCGACACATTCGTCCTCCGGATAAATATGACTATTCTGCAATTTTAACTAATGTTATTTTTCCTACATCTTATTTAAACAAATTTGTTGGATAAAAACCTTGCAAGAGGAATTTCAGACACTTCATGACAATCACATTTGGGATATTGTTTCATGTCCTGCAGGTGTTAAACTCATTGGTTGTTAAAGGGTTTATTCTTTTAAGCTCTGATCGGATGGTTCCTTTGACAAATATAAGATAAGATTGATAGCTTTTGACAATCGACAGGATTATGAAATTGATTATGAAGAGACATTTGGACCTGCGTTTAAGATGAAAATTGTCCAGCTTGTTTTATTTATTGTTGTATCTAAATTTTGGTGTTCATGGCAGATGAATGTTAAGAATGCATTTTTGCATAGGGACCTCAAGAAAGATATTTTTATGACTCCTCTTTTAGGCTTGTTTTCCACACCCTCGCATGATGTTTGTAAACTTAAAGGCTCTCTATATGGTTTGAAACAAGCTCCACGAGTCTGATTTGAGAAGTTTTGCAATACTCTTCTTAGTTTCTCTTTTCTTCAGAGTTAGTATGATTTTTCATTATTTTCTTGCAAGACTGACAAAAAATTGTTCTGTTATTAGTCTATGTTGATGATATTTTCATCACAGGATCAGATACTCAATTGATATCTCAGTTCCAGAAGCGACTTCAGGTTCTTTTCATATGAAAGATTTGTGGTTTTTAACTTATTTCTTAGGTTTAGAGGTTCACTCTTCTTTTGTTGATATTTTTCTTCATCAGCTTAACTATGCTAAGCAACTCATTGCTTTGGCTGGTCTCCAAGAGGTGTTGATACTCATTTGGAAGTGAATTTTAAATATCAACAGAACGATTATGACTTTCTATCTGATCCATCTCTGTATCGATAACTTGTTTAGAGTCCCAATTATCTTACTATTACACATACTGATATTTCATTTTGCTATACAACAAGTTAGTCAATTCATGCAAGCTCCTACACATTTTCATTTTGTTGCAGTTTGACTATTGTTAGGTATTTGAAAGGTAGTTCTCATTGTGGTTTGTTCTTATATGTGGAATTTCCTATTCACTTAACAACCTATATGATACCAATTAAGCTGATTGTTCTGATACGCGTTGATTTATTATTGGTTGGTGTATGTTTCTCGACAACTTTTTAATTTCTTGGAAGAATAAGAAATAAAATTGAGTGTCTTAAGTCTTCTACTGAGTCTGAATATCGTGTTATGTCCTCTGCTTGTTCTGATATCATTTGGCTTCGGGGTTTGCTGGCTGACTTGGTTTTCCTCAACTTGAGTCTGCTTCTCTTTATGCAGATAATATTAGTGTTATCCAGATTAATGTTAATCATGTCTTTCATGAGCGCACAAAACACATTGAAGTGAACTGTCATTATATTCGAGAAGCTTATGATAATAGTGTTATTTCTCTTTCTCACATCTCTTTGGATTTTCAAAAGGCTGATATATTTACTAAAGCTCTTTCTCGGCAACGTCATTAGTTTCTTATTGAAAATTTGATGCTTCTTGATCAGCCAACATTAATTTGAGGAGAGATATCAATCAATAATATCATAAATCAGACAACTGAATTAGGAGTTCCCTATACTTAGGAGTTTTCTTATTTAAGTTGTTTCCATTTTCTCTCTCCTAATTTGCCTCTCTTGTTAATTGTACATATTCTTTTCTTATAGCTGAATAGATTTAGAGTTGGAATATTTATTAGATTACCTAAAAGAGATTGTACATATTATTATTTATTGGAATGAAAGCAAAGGAAAAAGACATTCAACCAATTTTCTCAAAAATTGTTACATCGAGTCGCAGGGCTGTCTTTATTTCTCTGTGTTGTGGTGTTGTTTGTCATTTATTTCCTTCTTTCCAGTGTCATGTTTGTAATCATTTCATAATTCATTAATGACATTGTACTCGTCTTTTAAGTTATTAATAAATCCGTGTCTTGCGGCGTGGTTCCAATTAAACTCTGGTATCTAGAGATATCCCTATATGATTTGGATGACAAATTTTAAACATTGTACTCGTCTTTTAAGTTATTAATAAATCCGTGTCTTGTGGCGTGGTTCGAATTAAACTCTGGTATCAAGAGATCCCTATATGATTTGGATGACAAATTTTAAGTCTGAAATTGTCAAAATTTTTAATCAAGATGAAGATCACACTGTAATGTGAAGAAAAATTCAAGCATCATTCAGCTGAATAAGAGTATTTGGAAATCAGTTCTGCTGGCATATCATGCCTTTTACATTATTCTAATATGAACATAGTGCAATTCTTGTTTAACTTGCGATGTAGATCATGGCCTTCGCCCTGTTTACGGTACTTTCAGCACTGTATGAAATTTAAGCAATATTTTTCAAGTTCGACCACCAATATCCTGATTGTTCTCTGCTGAACGTATTTATTTATGGGGCATTGACATGCATACCGCCCAATTCTTATGTGGCTACATAGCAAACACCTAAACTTGTTACATTTATAAAATCCAAACCTTTCATATCACATCAAAAACACCACTAATATAACTTCTAAAAAGTGAAATACACTTTTTCATGCATAGGCAAAGGCGGTGTTTATGTAAATACATAGTAATTGAGTGGTATTTATGTAAATTTTTTATTTTTTTTACCATAACCTTTAACATATATATATATATATATATATATATATATATATATTA